TACGTATAAAAATAAATGAAAATAAAAACATGCAGAAGAAATGAACAAGACAGAAGAAACCGACGGAGTCAACCGTTGAAGATGGCCGCGGGACAATTGTCTGTGTACCATGAATGCGATATTCAGAACTTGTCTTGATAGAGTTAAAACATAATCAGTGAATGGAAGCTAAGTAATAGAGTAACACAAAGTTAATCCCTATTTGCAACAGCTTAATTATTTTAAGCTTGACCACAAAATATTCCATTCAGTGGAATATCGTAGCTTAACCAAATGATTTTATGAATGGATTCTCTTGAATGGAACATCACTTGATCGTAGGCTGACCAATGTTATGAATGGAGATTCGAACTAAACTAAAATTACTTTTAAGTTATTTGTTTATCGATTAATATATGTTCGATCTATCAACTTGGATTAATGTAGTTCTATGACTTTAAAGTTGCTCTGCATATACTTTTGCTGATCAGAATAAAAATATTTGTACTTTTGAACGAGGCTAGCAAATATTGCAGAGTGAGAGCTATTGCCAAAAAAAGAAAACTGCAGTTTTATAAATATCATTTGCATCTAAGGCATTCAGCCTTCCAAAAACACTACTCGGGGATTCGAACCAGGTTGCTCGTTTTTTCAGTTGGCCGAATGAGGAAATATCTTTAGATAACTTATCGATAGAGCTCACGGATCTATAAGATATTCTTTACTTGTAGGAAAAACTATGAACAAATCGAATAACTGACTTCCTTCCCCTTTCAAACATGATATCAGTTCGCGGATTTCACTTGGAAATAAAGTTGCGATCGATTTGCCGACAGATGTTTTGTATGTGTTGTGCCCGACGGTGACGACCTTTGTATAATTAACTAAGTGCTTCTAACTGGACATTGTCGGCGCTGGGGGTCAAAATTTTAACGACAGCCAATGTTCCCACTCTCCCCGCCCCCCTCTCTCTCTCCCTCGCTGTCTCTCAGCACGTTTCATTGATGAATTTTGACAGATTCTTAAGTTTTGGGTTAATGATTTGACGGCTCAAAAAGAACGTTTGTTGTTAAAGTTCGCTGGCTCAGTTCCAGCAAATTCATTAGCGGCAGACGACGCAAATGCAATTAAATTTGCTTTCTTACAACCTTTTGGCCCATAGCAAATCGTTTGGGACATGTTTTCGAGCTGGAAGCACTTCGTATATCAAATAGTTTGCATGTTTTTTCTGCTAATGATAACATTTCTGGTTATATGCACAAAAGGAGTCTTTGGGTATTGCATGACGCATTTAGCATGCCTTTTACTGGCGAATTCCTTTGAAAAATCCCTTAACAACGATATCTGGAAACATGCAATTAAACACGCACACATATTTAATACCGTTATGTGCCTAGGTGAGGCCCACCGTGGCCAGAGCGCATGTCCCTTTTGGCGAAGGCTTTTTGACTTTTTAGGCAACTCACGCCCCCTGACAGAGGGACCGCATATCTAAGGCCATGGCGCATGTTGGACACAAGCCTTTGGCTTTTGCGGGGCCGACGAGGTGCCACGCCTCCAGACGCCAATTATGTGGCCACAGCAAAATGCCAAGGATGCGCCGCGAGCACAGGATATGCTCAAACTTTCGGCGCGTTGCAGTAGCCGCCGGCGTCTAACAGAGAAGACAAAAAACAAGCAAGGAAAGAAAAAAATCGAAAGTTTGACTTTAGATTTTGTTGCTTGATTTTGAATTAATATTAAAAGGTGAGCTAGGGGAGGGGTAGCGGCCCGGGCAACAGCGACGGCGACAACTGGCCGGCGGCCTTAACGGAAATGGAAATGATGCATACGGCGGCGGCAGCCCGAGCCGGGCAGAGGCGCGCACACAGTGGAGCAATTAGCCAGCGCCCCATTGGACGTGGCATTAAATTGTGAGCAGAAAGTGGCAGATACATCAAAAGTGAACGCAATCCATCATCTGGCGAATCATGGCGTGATGAGTGCCGCCAACAGTTCAGCCTCAGCACCAGCTCCAGGTCCAGCTTCAGCGTCCAGCTTTGGCTCTTTCGCTCGTCGGCATCCTTTCGACTCTTTTTTTTTTTATTATTTCGTTGTTGTTATTTTTTGTTGGACTTTATGATGATGACTGGCCGTGACTGGCCTTTTGGCGCGTTCGCCGCACGAGCTAAAATCATAAGACATTTCCTTTTTCTTTTCGGCTCTAATACCGTTAGACAGGCTGCAGATACAAGCTAAAAGATACAAGATACCAGCTACAAACTAGAGCTCCCTACTTTGCTTGGTCAAGGTCACAATTAATTGCGCTGGCGACTTCCTATATAACTGGCCTGATATTACGACTAATGCCGCCTGATCTACTTTCGGCCGAGCGGCAATTAAAACAATTACCTTTACCTCTCCGCAGCTGTAGCTGTAGCTGCTGTTATAAGTTGTAGCTGTATCTTTATTTCTATCTGTATCTGTATCTGTAGCTGTATTTGTATCTATAGCTGTAGCTGTAGCTGTAGCTGGCAGGGCATTTCACTGGAAATGCTCGAGCCGCAGCCACATCACGCCCATTAGCGACAATCAATCTCGGCCACACTGCAAGAACCAACTCAACAAGAACAACAACAACAACAACAACAACAACAATAACAACAAATCCAGTGATAAAGTTTTGGTTGCGCTTGTTTTGGTTTTATATTTTGCCGCCTTTTGCCGTTTGGCTTTTTTATTTAAGAATGCGACTGCCAGATAACCCATAATTATGAAATTATTATTGAGCGCCAAGTTGGGCTCAAAGTCTCGCCATAAAATATATGCGAAATAAGCAAAAGCAAAATGCAAAGGCAAAATTATTATAGATATCTTTATACGGGCCCGTCTCTGTCTGCCGTCGGAAAAGTACAAATCTTAGTTTGTTTTTTTTTTTCTCAATTCATTTGGTTTTTGTGTTTTTAACAGGAAGTCCCTTGACTGTGCTGGCGGCGCAGGAAGTTGCATAAAGCGTTTTGATAACAAATCAAAATATATAATAAATAACTTTTTAATTGTTATATGCAAATAGCCAAAAAGTGCACAAATGCCTTGAAACCGATTAGTGAACCTGATGAATCCCGTTTATGATTAAATTCGGTTCGGTTTAAGTTTAGGTTCGGTTTGTACAACTTATTCGACTGAAGTTTTGGTTCATGGTTAGTTAATAAACAGGCATTCGGCTCAAATTTGCAGCCTTGGCTCAATGCAAGTCAAGAGTTCGGCTTTTGTGGCAGCCATCAGGCTTGCCCCTGCAACGCTGAGCAACTGTTAAAACAACCGAATTTATGCAACATGCCCGCTAGGCAAATACAGAAAACAAACAAACTGTCGAAAAGCCAAGGAAGGCGTTCTAGGAATTTCTTAAAGGAAACGCCAAAACGCACAGGATGCAGCTTGTTATGTTTTGGGTCGCTTTTGAATATTTATGAAATGCAAAAAGGGGTCCCTCGTCCTGGCAACGCGTTGCACGTTGCACGTTGCACATTGTGAATGCCGTTATGAGTTATTTTATGAGAGCGGGCACAGGAGCCTGCCAAGAAGTCAATCACCTGGAGCCGGAGTCCTGCCAAGGAGCCGTTGCAGCCTGCTGCAAGCTGCCGAAAAAGAAGGCCCAGCAAGGCCAGGAATCTGTGCGGCGCATCTTGTCACTTGCGATCGCTGTAGCCAGGGCAACCTGTAATTTTCAAATCTGGCGAAACAAATGCAAAACTGAAAAGGAAAAAATGTATCTTATGGGCAGCTTATGGGCCACAGAAATGGCGCGCACGTTGATGTGCCGACCGACGACGACTGAAGATACTTTGAATGCGAGCAGCAGCCACATGATAGAAAGAGAGAGGACGAGAGGGCGAGCGGGCAAGAGAGAGCGAGAGAGAGAGATGTTCAACGGAACGCATGTTCTTTGAAAATTGCCCATAATTATGCGAACGAACTTCAAACTGATTGTTTCTACCGGCAGCGGCGGCCATGGCTGTCCAAAAACCGCGTCTCTTGCATGCAACATAACCGAGTGGTCCACCAGCAACGGCAACAGCAACAGCAACAGACTCCAGTCCCCAGCCGCAGCCCGGCTTTAAGATCGACATCGACATCGGCCTGGCCTGGACTGGCCTGCCCTCGTCGGGATGCTACGGAATCGCCCGTTCGCTGCAGTGAAAGAGAATGACTGTAATTACGCATCACTTTTTCTTAATTTTCATGCTGTGTGCATCTTCCTCATCTGCTGCTGCTGCTGCTGCTGGTGATGATGGTGGCTCACCATTTTGGGTTGGGAAGCTGCGGAGGATTTGGACACTGAACTTGACCCACAAGACAAGTATGTTGTTAGTTGCTATTGGCGGCGTTTTGTAAGAAATAAATACGTCCCAGAGAGTTTTAGAAAATTGCCTGTTGCGTGTTGCGTTTCCAAAACAGCGGCTCGACAACATTTTGCGTGTCTTTTGTTGGTTGTTTTCGTTTTTCGTTTTTCGTTTTTTTTTTTTTTGGTTTTAACTTCCTTCAATGAGAAATCTAATTTAAAAGATACAAAATTTTAAATTATGGGGTTTTCTTTATTGCCAAAAAATATTTTCGTCTTTTTTGTTGCCCCATGTTTTTTGTATGATTGCGTCTACGTGCTGTGAAAAGGTTCGAATTGCGCGCCGAGCAGCTCAGATGCCAGACAAGCGATACGCAGACATATGTCGGAAGTGCCGAATGTCAAAGATTTTGGGTCATAACAAACGATTTGAGTTGAAATGAAATTGTGGGACCCTTGCATAAAGATTAATGCAACGTGGGAATTGATAACACATATTATACTTCGATGACATTTTATAGTTGCGCAACTTTTAAGTTTTATATTAAGCCAATTCACGGTATTTAACCACGCACTTTTTGGCTTGTAACGTATTAAGTTTGATTTGCCAGTGCTCGAAAACGCAAATGCTTCGTTGCGCCCACAAACAATATATCGCCTATCGACAAACCCCCTCAATTCAAGGCTCGATAGTTTTGCGGTGGCAACACTGGCAGAACTTTTGTTATTGTTTTCGTTAATTGTTGTTAAATGAATTCGTCCTACAATGGAAACGGACGCCAATATTGCGGACATGTCAGACGTCTCGTTTGCTGAATTCGAAACGAAAACCGGCGACGGAAATGCCAATTTTGATAATTATGGCCAATGTCAGGCTAAACACGATATGGCTATGACTCTCGACCTGTCCTTGGGCCAGAAGGCTGAGCAACTGTTTGCCACTGACCAAACTCCAACGCCGACGCGGCTGATTAAAAACTGTGAGGAAGTTGGCCTATTCGATGATCTGCAGCATGTGAATCCCTTCGATATTGGTTTCCAACGGGCTGCCGAACAAAATGCCGTTGCAGGCAAAGCCCTGCCAGCGACGCCAACCTGTGCAGAAGCACCAGCTACGGATGGTGACTCGCTGCACACACCGCAGGTGTATCCGTTGGAGACGGCAACAGCTGCTCCGGTTGCTAGCCAGAACAGCAGTCCATTGGATGTGCCCGTGACGCATGTGGAAGAGCTGCTGCAGGCAACAACGACACCTGCAACTGTGCCCGGGCCCGTGCCCGCAACGGTGGAAAATCCACCGCCGCTGCAGCTAATACAGCCGCCACTTATCACATGGGTGCTGCCAGCGCAAGCATTATCTATAAACGCAATACCTGCTAGCGTCAGCAAACCCTTGCCCGAACAGACTGTGCGTCCTTTTATATTGCCCAAGCCCAACGTGGCTGGAAATAGCAAGGCATCCACTGGGATTGTGGTACACAACACACAGCCCGCCCATGAGCCGAGCAGCGCTAGTCTTACGCCCACATCACAGCTGCCCATTAAGGAACGCCTCAAGGCCATACTCAATAACAGCAACAACAACCGAGAGAAGCGCAGCAGCAGCTTTTCGACGCCAGCGCCCAAGGTAAAGGCAGCGATCAAGCGGAACGAGGATTCCATGGAACGACGACGTGCCGCGGCCAGCCGCTATCGCCACAAGATGCGCAATGAGCACAAGGAAATAAAGGATCACAATGCACAGCTACAGCAAGAGATACGCAAGTTGCGTGAGCGCATCAAGACTCTAGAGCTGCAGCTCCAACAGCAAAACAACAACAACAACAATGCGGGTGGTAGGAGAACATTAACATGCAGCAAGTGCAGCCTAATATTTAACATGATTCTTCTCTTCTCTAGCAGTCGTGGGCAACCAGATACAAATACCCCCATCGAGCATACACCTGGTAATAAATGTGCCTAAGATGATAGTGCCTTCGTCCACATCAAATCTGATGCTAGATCAAAAGTAATTAGCCTTAGCGTAGATGTAAATAACAGAATATGTACATAAGTCTATATCTATATCAAAGTTAGGCTTAGGAGAGTTTGTAAATATGTACAAGTAGGATGCTGGTTCGAATCCCCAAGCTAGCCGCATATTTGCTAGCTATGTGTTATTTAAAATTTAGCTTTAAAACAACAAAATCTATTTAGAAACGTGCCTCCAAATTGTATGCATAAAATGTTAAAATTACTAACATTTTATTACATATTTGTAAATATTTAAATATGTTTGCCATTGTTAGTGGCAAATAGTTTTTTGTTTTAATTAATATTATTTATGCGTCACCTGGAGCACAAAAAGCTCGTAATCATAATCAGTCGGAATTTCATTGTGAACCTTAAGTTTACAGTTTACGCTTATCGATTTGACATAAATGTTACATATATTTAAAAAAATTTAATTAGGTTTATTTGTTAGTAATGCACAATTTTGATGTATAATTAATTGTATTTACTAATTGGTTTATGCCTCTAAAAAGGACGCTTCTAATCAATTAAGTGTCTGGCCAATTTACAAAAATGTTCATAAATGTGCATAAACAATTGTTAAAAAACACAATGTGAGCATAAATAATCAGACTTGTTATCTTAGCTAAACTAACTAATATAAGTATATAGCCCCCTGTTACTTACTTCTGTCGCTGGCTACGAGATCTGTGAATTCGCGTTGTATTTCCAGAATTGAACGTTCAATTTCTGATAGATGTGGCTGCAGTGGTGCAGCCGTTTCTGACGGCAATGGCTGCTGCAGTTGCTCCATGTTCATCTGTCGGGGAGTAAGAGAAAATCAAATTAGTTTATTTCTATTTAAGCTAAGATTTCGCTTACCTGTCGCAGATGTTGCTGTAGCTTATCCCTTTCCTGGCGCATTTTTTGTATGTTATCGTAGTATTTCTGAGCCAGAGGCGCGTCTGGTACATTCCGGCAATAATGCTGCTCCAGCAGCTGCATTTCCTGGTTGCGAATCTCATCCTCGGCAAATAGCATTTCCTGATTTTGGCGACGTCGCTCGCGCTCGACGCTGTGCATCAGCTCGTCGATGTCCTTTTCCATTTCCAATATCTTGCGACGCTGCTCCGACTCCTGCAGCTTGCTCATGACCTCGCTTTTGCGCTGCCGCACCTCCAACTGATATGTGAGCAGCATTTTGCGGTGGCAAGCAATGCGCTCCTCTTCGCGCTGTATGGTGTCCTGGTAGAGCTTCTCCATTTCCTTAAGCCGGCGCGTGTGCTCCTCTTGCTTGAGACCCTTCTCCAGACGGTCCATCATTTTGAGCTCCTCCAATTCCAGGTTACGCATACGCGCATCAATCTCCTGGTGTTGCTTGATCAGCTCGATAGTTTGTTCCTCCTGCTGCTCAATCCACTCGGTGGGATATTTGAGAAACTTGGGATACACGCCCTTGGGTATAGGCGCAAAGGGTGGCATAAAGCGTTTAGGGTGCACCTGGGCTGGACATTTGCTCATTAGCTTTCGGGCTCGCAACACCCACTTGGCCACATCAATCGGATTCTGTTCGTGAAAGAACCAAAGCACAGCCGACTTCTCCGGCAGGCGCATAATGATCTCCCGTTGCATCAAATTGTAGGCCACAATAACGAATATTATGAAATATGGTGGCTCCGTGATGATATTGTCCCACAGCACCAGCCATTGCTGCTCCTCTAGCACCTCGGCAAAGCCATTGGTAAGCAGCGACCATGCATAATCTTTTGGCTTCACATCCATAGCTTGATAGAACTTGCTCAGCTGCTCGTCATGAACCTGCAGCACATTCTCGCACATGGCCAGATAATTGCCGGCCGGCAGCGGATGGAATTCAAAGCAAAGCTGCAAATGATTGAGCAGCAGCGTCACGAGCAGCTCAAAGACCACCAAGCCGTTTTTGGTCATTTGTTTGACAAAGGGAAAGATCAGATCTGGCATAAAATCCGTATAGCCAAAAACTTTGCACCAGCGCGCCAAGCAGCTCCAAATCTTAATTACTGCCCGCCTTTGGGCGTCGCTCCGGATCTGTAGGCAGCGTGCGCGCTGCTTGACAATTGACGGCTGGCCAAGCTTGAGCAGTGCCTGGAACTGGACGCCATTGGAGGGCAGTTCCAGCAGCGTGCTCCATATAATAAATCTATACTTTTCCGGATAATATCCATACTCGCCCAGCATGGCCACCAAACGTTCGCGCTTCAACAGCTGACGCAGTTCACGGTTCATGGCGGTGCCCACAGCGCCAGGCAACTTCGGCTGCTTCAGTGCCGCACGTAGCTCTGATATGCAGTGTGTCTGTGCCTGCAGAGCATTGAACAGACGGCAAGTGGACCACACATTCACCTCACCACACTTGGACAGCACACTGAGCAGCTTGCCATCGCGACTAACACTCACGTTAACAGCATTTGAGCGCTGTACGATTAGCTTGTGATCGGTGTGCTCCAGGTCCAGCATAATAGCCATACCGCGTGCTGTGATGGCAAAAAGTATGCGCTCCTTGGGCTGCGGCAGCAACACCATTTGCTTCAAGATGAAATCGCGTAGTTTAAACAACTTGTCGATCTCGAGGGATGCCGTGCTGAGCAGCAACAGATAGCCATCCAATGTGCTCAGGCACAGCTTGTTGCCGTTGGGTGAAAAGCTGTAGGTGAGCAGCTTGCCATCGGCAAAATGCTGATCCTCGCAATTGAATGCTAGATCATCCTCCAAGTCGCTGTCCTCATCCTCTGCGCCACGCAAAACAATCTCCGGTATCGTCTTATCACTGCGCAGCAGTCGCAGTTTGCGATCTCGCGCCTTAATGGGCTGGGCAATGTGCACAGTTTCAAGCGTGTGAGTGGACCACAAATGGATGGAGTCATTGGTGAAGCAGGTAAAGAACTGATCAGAGCTGGGCAAATAGCCAGCAAATTTGAGCGTGAAACGCGACTGATCAAACTCCAGTTGATGTGACACCTGCAGGGTTCTCAAATTCAATAGCACAGCCGATGTGCCGAAGCGCATTACCGTGTTGGGTGCACTGGAACTTTTCAGTCGATTGCCCCAGGAGATTTCATCAATCGCCGCATTGCCGACTGCATTGCGCCGGCGCAAAATGGACTTATCGACATCGACCGTGAGCACATGGCCCAGGTCGTTGCCCACAATATATTCGCTACGCTGAAGAGGTGAGGCCAGCACCAGTGTCGCCTGCGGCAAGCTGAAGTTCAGACGCCAATAGCGTTTGCAGACAAAGTCAAAGACGTAGATGTTGCCGCTTGTAGGAGGAGACAGAGTTTAAAGTTTTGCGTACAAGAATATGCGCCTGATCTTACCGTCTATCAATGACCACCAGCTTGTTGCTCATCTCATTGAAGCAGCAGGCGGCAATGCGAATCCTTAGAGCACGCTCCACATCTTTGATCGTATGATGCACGGTGAGTATGTTCCTAAGTGAAAAACAACTGGAGATATTCTCGCACAACGAATTCGATTAGTATTTACCCAGATTCGGTGTGCTTCAGCTTGAATGGATATTTGTGCATGGGCACATCTGCAGTGCGAACGTCGCGTGGTAGTGGCTCAGAGAAATCTTCTTCATATTTACTAAAGCCGCCCAAGGAAGTGCTCATTTCCGTTTCCAGATCCCATTCCTCCTCCTCATCGTATTCCTGCTCTTCTTCCTCTTCCCCATTATCTTTATTCGATGTGGGCTGCGAAGGGCCCTCCTCGTGGGGTGAATTATTTTTCGTCGGATTTTCCATTTCTGCCAACTTTTAAAAAACAATTGACATTGTTTGGCTCACGAGCAAGCTGCTGCAGGTGAACCAATAGTTATCGATATCAACCAATATCGATATCGATAGTTTCAGCAGCTCACGAACAGTGTGCAGAACAAGCTCAACTAGATTTCAAATCAATTTTGTTTGATATGTTGCTTAAGAGTTAACTTATTTAAATTTAAATAGTGTATTTTAAAACACACAACTAAAAGTGAAGTACGAACTCCGTAGGGCCAGTGCTCTTTTTTGTTAGCATATGCGTACTTCTTTTAATCCTCAACTGAATTAAGAAAATTGATCGATCGCCCGTTTACGGTTAATAACTATTATGTATTTTGTTATTTCAATTAATTGTTTTGTGAATATATTTATTAATGTGAGATTGACTGTCGTCTTTGATGGAGCCAAATGCTTCCAAATTGCTACATCCGCAAATCGCCGACGGGTGCCTAAAACTAAACGGTCTTCCACTTAAAACATGCCTCCATATGGCGCATCGCCTTCACGCATGGCATAGCCAAACATGGTCGAGTAGTTAATGACATTGCCTATCAGCGTCAGCGTGCACGCGGTCCAGCCGATCTGAAAAATATAAATCAAAGATTAAGCTTTCAATACAATTAGCACAACTTTATTATAACTTACGACAGCCGAATGGGCCAGAACAATGGGCAGTGCAAAGGCACTGAGCACCATGCCGGCCGTAAGGAAGAGCGCAAATTCTGTTTTCGGATTGGTTTCGGTGCCGGGGGTAGTCCGTTTCGATATGAAGACGGGCAGCACTGATAACACGTAGAAGAGCAGCACGAAGAACGGATAGAAGATCTTGGGTGTGGGCACGGCGCAGGCCAATATCAGGAATGTCATGCCCAGGCACGTTAGAAATGCGCATATAACCAAACTGAATAGAAGTGGGGGGGGGGGGGGGGGGGGGAGCCTTATCAATAGGTACAAAAAAGCAAAAATAGTGGGTGGCAACTCACGCTGCAGGTGTTGGTAATTTCGTAGTTGTAGTCGTTGTTGTCGGTGGCAATCAGACAGTAGCACGTTAGCAGCATGTTTACCATGTAAATAGATGCAAGCATAAGTTAATCTATTACCGAATTAATTGCGCATTATTACCTTTCATTGCAGCCATTTTATTTGTTTATAGTTTTTCTTTGTGGCTTGCCTTACAAAATGATTCACAAACAACAACGACTGAGTATCGATAACAAGAGTATACCATCAGCAGTATTTTTAGGGCTCAGTCATTTTTAGTACTTTTTTTGTTTGGTATAAAATGCCTTTTTTGGTAGATTACGCAAATAAGCGGGGTGTTCTCTCTTAGTTTCATAAACTCATAAACTATTTAAATTTAGGAAAGTGCAAAAATGTTTTATTTATTTTATTTACTCTAATTGACAGATAAGGCGTCGAAGTCGTTATTTATCTAACAATATTCAAATATAAAAAATATTTGATATTTTATAGCATGGTATCAGCTTATTAAATTTTAAAATTTATACTCTTAACTGATAAAACTAGAATGGATCATAGACAACCTGCTATATTATGGGCAGAATCAAATGTACGCAACAGTTATACATTCCTGTGAATAGAAAGCTTTCCGGTTGAAAATTCATTGATAAAAATAAAGTGCCCTATCCCAAACGAAAATGGTTCAGCGCGTGCCCATCAAAAGCTGCAGAAGAGGAGGAGGGGCGCACAAGATTACATGTCAGACATCAAGTGTGTATGCGTGCGCGTGCGTGTGTGTGTGTATGTGTGTGCAAGTAACTACGTAGCGGCCACCTGCTAGCTGCCCAGAAGTCGAATCTGGCTTCGGCTTTTTCATGAATGCATGAATGTTTATTCAAAGAATCCCAGCGCGCGCGCACACACACACACACACACACACAGACTTGCTGGCGGACGTGTCGAGCTTTTTGTGGATAAAAGGACGCATGCTCTGAGCTGGCTTCGGTGCGCTTTGTTGTTGGCCAGCACAAAAGCTGCCCGCAACATTTAACAGCGCGGGGGCGGACATAACATTTGCGTCACAGCTACCAATGCTGCTGTTGCTGTTGTTGCTGTCGACGCTGCTGCTGCTGCTGTCGACGCTGCTGCTGCTGCCGCCAGGCTCATTCAGTATAACGGTATACGTCGACGATTGAAGAACACAAAAGTTAAACGACGGCCAGCTTTCAAAGGCAGCAGCCTCACAAGTTTCACTTAGTGGGTTTTGGCTGCAATCTGATAGAAAAGTGCAACATTTGACATTTGTGGCAGCCGGTGCAGGTGTAGAAATCATTTAAAATATTCAAATCAAACGAGTTGCACGGCAAAATTGTCGTTTGGCTAACGGAAATTTCGAAAAATATTGCACGCCTACGCGAATTTTGCGAGCCAATTACAACCACCAGCTGCCCGCTTGCTGTGTGCGTGCGTGCGTGCGTGTGTGTGGCCGTGTGCGTGTGCGCGCATTGGTATTGGTGCTGGTGTGAAAATCAATAAACTCTGTAGTCTGTGTGAAAGGGCAACAGCGGAATGTACGGTCCATATTAACCGGCCATATGGTAACCAAATTTCCAGCCAGATGTCAAGTGCTTAATTGAAACTTGCATATTCCAATCACAATACAAAAGAGAAGGCAGCTAATAAAAACGTTAAACTTTTTTGATAAAAATTAAATAAATAAAAGTAAGCTGGACAAATATGGGCAGGCGAATGGAAATAACCTGCGCACTGATTGCACTCCTGATGTGCAGCATATTGGGTCACTGCGAAGTGTCCGTTTACCCAGGTATATATGCCTAAAAATAGCACAAACCAACCCACATTTACCACACTTAGAACTAATGTGTATGTATGTGTGTGTGTGTGTGTGCATATCATTTTAACTTTTGCGTCGTGAATGGCGCTGGAAGGCGAAAGCAGCCGCTTGCCACTTCGTTTTGTGTATAACTGTGTACTAGATATGCATGTGTATGTGTGTGTGTGTGTGTGTATCGAGCATCAAATATTCACGAATCAAACCAAAACACCCACGCAAACACACACATACACACGCGCACACTTGCACAAACTACAAACCTGCAGCGCCCGCAATTGACGTTGGCTCTGCACGTATGTGTATGTGCATGTGTGTATGTGTGTATGTGTGTGTTTGTGTATGGATGTTGTTAGTGCCAACCCAACCCATGCACAGTATATACCCCCTCGGTCTCTGCTCCCGCCAGAGTTCGAGTTCGTTGCAGTCGCTGCTCAACGTACTTTTTTCTATTGCCTACTTTTCAGGGCAACAGCAGAAATGTAATAAAGTTTTTCCAAGCACGTCACAGCCTGTATCTATGTGTTTGCGTGCCTGTGTGTGTGTGTGTATGTGTGTGTAGATGTTGGCGCGTGTAGTAATTGGTCTATTTTAAGCCATTGGCAATTAAATTGACTTCTGTTTGTCTATTCCGGTGGCATATTTGTTTTTTTTTCTTTCTTTTTTTTTTGGGCGGGTTATAAGTAGTTTCTCCGGCCGCTTTTCTTACCCTGTTTCCTTTTTTGTTGTTGCTTTCTATTTTAGTCGCTTTTATTTTTGAACGGCAACTGGCACGCAATGTCCGCCGCCCATGACGGACATCATTAGCATTAGCATAATGAGTGCTGTCCACGCCCAGAGAGAGAGAGAGGGAGAGAGAGAGAGAGAGAGAGAGAGAGAGAACTGCGTTTAATTAATCAATTGCATTCTTTTTGTCTTTGTTCACCTTTGTTTGGCACAGGTCTGCGTCGACGTCCTATACAGCCGGCGCCCATGGAGCCGCAGCAGTATGAGCAGCTCATGGAGGATCATGCCCGTCGCCGACTGCAGCAACAGTTCGAGCAGCAGCTGGAGCTGATCAAGCTGAAGCTGCAGAAGCATCAGCGGCAGCTGCTGGAGCTCGAGCGCATTCGCCAGCGGGAGCAGGAGGCGCAATTAATGGCCGAGACGGAGAACAATTACGACAACAACAATCTGAACAATCAGCAATACGATCAGTATGATAACGTTGAGGGCGATGCCGCCTACGGCAGTCCACTGGATGCCGTGCCCGATGTTGTGCGTCCGCCGCCGCCGCTGCCGATGCAACTGCCGCTGCCCAGCTTCAATAGTCTGGAGGCGAACGGTGGCTACAGTCGCAATAACCCGGGCTACACACGCCAACGCATACCCTTCGCCGTGGGCCCCAACGATGAGCGCTTCTTTGACAACGCCAACGATCCGTCAGGTGAGCTGGACTCACGTGCTCTAGAAGATTACGAGGAGTATGCACCGGCACCGGAATCAACCGACACCGAGGTGGCTACCTCCAAGAGCAAGCTGGTCACAGCTTCGGTGCCGGCACCGAAACCCGTGGAGCCGCCCAAGCTGCTGGACACGGCCACCGCCAACTTCCATCGCATCAAGCCCCAATCGGCGGCCGCTGCAGCTGTGGCCGGCGTCAACTTGCCCCTCTCCAAGGAGATGCCCAACGAGATAAATGCGTTAATCGATAAGCTGCAGAAGCAAAGCAAATCCTCCCAAATGGCATACGCGGCCAGCACCGGCGACGATCAGATTGTGCTGCGCCAGCATCTGGGCATGAACAGCGAAATGGGCGTCTATATTGTGGCACTCATAGCGGGCGTCAGTGCGGCTGTAACTGTGGGCCTACTAGCCCTAGGCGTTACCTGGTAAGTCTATAGTCAATAAGAAATGGTTGAGAGTGAAATGAAATGAGAAAGTGGGACTTAAATATTACGTATACGATGCGTAGCTCGGATTAATAGTCATTAATATCCCAAATCGATTTGTACTTTCAAAGTTGAATTTTTTAAAAATGAGAAAAGCTTCTATAGTTAATCGAAAGAAAAAGAAGATGCTGGTTTACTCTACTTACTCTAAGTAAAATATTGTATTCAGTCTATATGCATTATTTAATCAACTTGCATCAAACACAAATAGTTAACAGCCCGATTTGTTCTATCGACAGGTTCCACAATCGCACCAAAGCTGCCGCAGATGTTGATTATCCGGCTTATGGCATAACCGGGCCGAATAAGGATGTGTCGCCGTCGTGCGATCGCAAGCTGGCGCAGAGCGCTCAAATGTATCACTATCAGCACCAGAAGCAACAGATTATTGCCATGGAGAATTGCCAGGCGACCGACGGCAGCTGCGGCCTGTCCGATGTGGAGAGCGACGATGACAACGAGGAGGGCGATTATACTGTCTATGAATGTCCCGGCCTGGCGCCCACTGGCGAAATGGAGGTCAAGAATCCGCTCTTCCTGGACGAGACGCCGGCCACGCCAGCCACAGGCGCCAATGCCGCCGCCACCACCACCACCAAGTCCGCCAATGCCGCCGCCGCCAGCGCTAGCTCCACCGCAGTCGCCAACAATGCCGCCAATAACAACATTACGCAGGCCACACCACAACAGCCGGCCACACAGAAGAAGGGCTCGGTCAAGCCGAATATGAATCTGTTGAATGCCGCGGCCACGGCCGCTGCCAAAGCTGCCGCCGCTGCCGCTGAGGAGAAGCAGAAGCGCAAGAACAAGAAGTAAATTGTTGGAGGTGAAACGTTTTTCTCTCCCCCCCTCCCTTTCTCTCTCTCTCTCTCACACACACACAATCTCACTTGGCTTGCCCAGGTGCTGAGGCAATTGGTAAAGTTGAACTGATCCATTTTGTCAGCCAGCAGATGCACACACACATACACACACACAGACGGAGATACACACGCACACCAACACAGACAGCGACATGTATAGACGATGTATTCCTAATGAAAGTCCATGGAATTAAATTCCGTGGCTGCAGGCACTCGAGTGCAACAAAACGAGTCAACTTGCTTGATGGCACAATTCTCTTATCTTCCCCTTGTTAACTGTAAGTCCTATCATATTATGTAATCGTATCGTATCATAATCGTATTTGCTATGATCTAAGACCTGCATACAATGTAACCTAGACACCCTGCCCCTCCCCCCCCCCCCCCCCCCCCGCTTCCCCTACCATGCACTTTCCACCTGCTGTGAGCAGTCGAGACGAAGAGCCATTATGCAGAATTTCCTGCTGTGCGCTGTCAATCAAAAGCAGAAACAGAAAAATTGCGCAAACATTTATAACATAAATGTAAAGAAGCAGAAAAATTGCGCAAACACTTTATCATATAATCCATCCTATACGCGGCCCCCGCCCGCTCTCCCCCCTTTTGAATATATATTTACATACAATCCAACATGTGTACTTATTTATATTGTATTGTAATTTAACATTTTATTGTAATTTATATAAAACAAAAACAACAACAACAACAACTTTTTGGTGTCTGCAACAAGAATCAATTTATGAAAACTATTTTAAAGTCTGCGCATTGAAACAAAAAAAACCCAAAAACAAAACAAATTAAAGCATAATATGACATATTATAATTATTATGTATTATAAACGTGCATACATATATGTATGTATGCATATATATATATATACCATAAACCTATGCGTGTAATTATTGTAACATACTTATTATACAAGCCTAAAGAAATTAATTACTTAGAAAATTCCCGAAATTGATTTTCAAAAAAAAAACATTTTTATTGTACTACGCTTTGTGATCTTAAATTATCTGTGTCAATTTAGAAATACAATTCTGGTAGCCCACATATACATGCATACACTCACACACACACACACACACACATATATATATAAATAGATATGTGTATATGTATGTACCTATCATATTGGATCTGTGGAAAGGCGATTTGGTGGAATGAAATGAATTATTTACAAGTATAACTTAACAATAATTTCCAGCACATTCATGTAAAGTAAATGAAAAACGACTGATAACACACAAAAATACACGCGTCTATTGTACAAAAAGAGGAAAAGCGAAAACCAAAAACGAAATTAATGAAAGCAAAAAAAAAAAAATAAAAATAAAATGAAATTTATTTATTAATTAGTGGAAAATTTACGATGCGAAATAGTAGATGCCTCCAAGTACCCAAACGAAATATTAGCGCAACATTTAATTGCAACTCAATTGCTGTAAATAGACATAAACCGAAACGTATGTGCGTTATATATGAGACAAACATATTTATTAAAACATAAACAAAAACAACAACAACAACGTAAACAATTGCGGCCGGAACAATACATTGAAGACGCCAGAAAAACTCACGAGTTTAAAAAAATGCAACTTATATACACGCAGAACTACAATAATAATGATTAAAACAAAAACTATTGAAATGATGAAAAAAGTATAAGAACCTCCAACTGCTAAGCATGTTGGAACAACACTTTGAAATACTTATATGAAACTATTTTATATTGTTTTCAACAATAACAATTGGTAATGTACTTTGCTACAAGAAAGTAAATGAATGAATAAAAACAAAAACGAAAGCGTAAAAACTGCAAACGAAATGTTGAACGAAATGTTGAGTTTGAAATATATATTTTATGGTGTTTTCTGAAGTACGTCAAGGCAGAAAACAAACATGTATGATATCTTGAAAGAAACCCAAAAAATACATAACTATATTGTGCATAAAGAATATAATTTAATTTATTTATGTATTATATGATAACCATAACAACACAAATTATACAATATGCATACAAAATAAAAATAAACTAACCCAAAAAAAAACCACATAAATAATTTCATAGTTTGTAAATATATAGTAAATATTTTAAAATTACACACGTTAGGCGGGCATTGTGTAGAGCTGCCACATCTTGCACAGCTGAGTTGCTCACATGACGCTGCCAGCTTGTTCAAAACGTAAGGATGGCAGCACTATTCGCATAGTTATTTCTGTGCTTTCGTCATGCTGGTCACACTGCGGACAGAAGCCAATCAGTAATTGCGACAATAATAATTCAATGTGCGTACGCCGCGCGCGTTTTTTTTTTCATTTCAACATTAATAATTAAAACACAATTAAAAGTCTTGCGGGCATTAAAAACGTGCGCGAAAGTCGCTGCTATCGAGTGAAACACAATTAAACATAGCCGCAGCTACAGTGCCAATTAAATATGCTTTGGTTCCTTAGTACAGATGCTGCTGCTGTTGCTGCTCTTGCTGTTGTTGCTGCTGTTGTTGTTGTTGTTTAGGTAAGTTTTTGGGGCGTCAACGGGCGCGCACTAAAAATAAATGTCTCGAGATGCAGTGCGCTTTATTCTGGTCTGGCACTGGCACTGGGCGGCCCACAACATTGTCGCAGTCGCTATCAAGTGCAAATAGTTTTCCTCTTTTTTTTTTATGTATTTGGGCGTACTTTGCCGATTACGAAACTGGGCGGGCAACAGACTAAGTGAGCGGGAAGTTGGGAGGGTTGGTGTCTTTAAGAGGGCCACACTTTGCATATTATATGCTAAGCATTAACGACGTTGCTGACGGCATACACAAAATTGCGTGTGACAACAGGGGCAGCTAGTTGCGCAGGGGTAGGGGGTAGGAGTAGCAGTATTTATATTCATTGCTATCGATTTAGCTAGGGGTGTGTTGTGCCTGTGCCTGTGGCTGAGGCTAATTTTTGTTATATTGCCGGCAAATGAGTAAAGCGTGATTCATCGCCAAAGCAAATCAATAAAAGAATAAAAAGAACATTCAGCATGGTTTCCTTTGGTGTTAGACTTGAACAATAGATCATGTGATAAGCAAATGTTATCAGACACCCACAAATAGTATACACAAAATATACACAAATAGACACACACACACACACACACACACGAACGCTTAGCAACGCCCCTGGGTAAGAAATTTGAGTTTCACTTTGTTGAAATATTTTCCAGCTGTTGTTTTCGCTTACTTGTTAAACAGGATGCGCCGAGCAGAGCAGAGCAGAGGCAGGCAGGCAGACAAGCCAGGGCTGCCAGGGTAAGCATATTGCAGGCCAGATGTTTTTAGCCTGCCATTTCAAGGCTCCCATGCGTTGCATTGCTCAACACTGTAGCGCGCACTCTCTCTCCCTCTCCTCTTCTGTCCTGCTCTTTCTATAAGTACAGGCACTCAAAAAGTACGCGTATTGGTTACATTTCTAGTTTTCTAGGTTTGACCCACTTAACGACGCGCGGATCACAGACAGCGTGGAAAACAAGAAGAACATTGCAGTCCGTGGTAGACAGCTGCACAATACTCTGTAGTTCGAAAAAATGATAATTTGTTAACGGACTGTTTCCGTTAAACAGTTTAATTATTGGTACGATCTTCAACAAAGATTAGCCGCAATCTACCTGCTCTTTTATCCAATGCTCTGCTGCATCAATAGACGGACATTACCGAAAACCAATATGCCCCTTTGCCACTTTGTGAACAGTGTATTCAATTCTACAAAACGTCAGCAGAAAGCAAAACCCCAGACCCAAGCTCATTGTTCTATATGCTTGGCCTTCCTGCGGCTCAGCTCAGCTCGGCTCGGCTCGTTTGTGTTTTGTTTTGTTTCTTTTTGCAGTTTTTCTTATTCTTTTATTGTAGTTTCTCTCATTACCCAGCGACTGAGATTACAAGTGCTTATTGCACACATGCACATGCATGCATATAAATACATACACAATTATGCTGATAGTGATGCTTAGATTCGTGTATGTGTGTGCAAGTAAATACATACATACATATGTTAACTGCACTTGACTCGCATTTGCATTGCAATCGCATGCGTTTAAATTAAGCTGATAGCTTTGCAAAAGTCCCTTTCTGCTGCTTTCAATTAAAAAAAAAAATAAAAAAATGTCAATGAAGCCAACACGCTGCGATTTGGCAGCTCAATGAATGCACTTGTTTCATGGTACAGTGAGTGTTCCTTCCAGCTACTCATGGTATACATATGTGTGTTAACCGCATTCCAAATTGAATGCCTCCAGCTGTTACAGTTTCTGAGTTAACATAGTACGGTAACAGTACAGATGCATGTTAAGTTGCAGCGAGACCAGCTGTTAAAGTCTCTTGGCTCTCTTTTAATCTACTTGATTTTCTTTCACTTTTGACATTCAGAAATTTCAATATAATTGTTCAAATGGTTTCAATAAAGTCTTACAATAATATTTGAGTATAAACTTTTGCCAAGGAGCCATCAAAATTCAATTCTAAGATTAAGCAAATATGTTTCCCATTACAAAATGAATTATGGCCAAACTAGCCTTGATTGGCTATAGCCAACGTTTACTGTATATGCATGCGCATGCACTTTTCACAATCGCATTGCCAGCGGGCGAAGGTTAATTTATGCACAGACAAACATATTCGTACGCATACATACATATATTTAACGGGGCATTTTCATTTTAAAAACAAATCTCTGGCGGTTATTGAACTTGAAGATGGCATCGCTGTCAACGCTGGCGACACCACCTGACCTTGCCCGCCATACACAATCTTACACGGCGCCCGTTGTATGTCAAAGTCTTCAACCCGAATAAAAAAAAGACTCAACAGAACTTAATTTTCACGTTCTGTAAGAGACGTAGAAGAAGCAGCAGCATAATGATATAGGGCTGTTGAATGATCTGCCCAAAGGTCAGCTGGGGGCATTGGGGCTGGGCCCAAGTGTGTGGAAGGCGCATTCCACTGGCCCCGGAATTTATC